AGAGAGACCTTCACATCTTTCCAAGGGGGAATATAGTGAACAGTTTTATCAGGGTTAAGAGACACATTCAGTTTCAGAAGATTATAGGCACAACAACTGAGCCACACTGTAAGGAGCTTTTTGCGGCAGATTGAGGGAACAGTCAGAATTGTTTAAAATGGAACTCAATTTAATTTTAATAGAGCTGGAGGGGGACCACTATTTTTCAAAGTTTTGGCGCAAAACATAGTACTAAGTAGAATTATTCTTTCGTAAATTGAAGGCAAGTTTAGTTCCTGCCTCATGTTAACAATTCTGACAGTTCTAGGACAACCCAGGATGATGCGCATGGCATCATTTTGTACTACATCTAGGCCTTGTAATTGTTTAGGAGAAAAATTAAGGAGATGCAAGGCATAATAATCAACAACAGATCGTATAAAGGCAATATAAAAACTACGAGCATATTTTGTTAATGCCAAATCCTTTGCCAACAAGAGTTTTGAGAGGTTTAAGACGCTCAAGTTTTTGCACAGGTTGCTGATGAGATTTGCATCATTAACCTTGACTCCAAGATATTTATAAGACTCGAGTCTCCACGGGCACTCCATTTAATAGTATAATTAACATGAAGAGAATGGGGAATAAGAACCCTTGTTTTATCAACAGAGATTATGAGGCCACATTCTACTACTTTCTTGGAGAATGCATCAAGTAACACTTGTAGCATTGGTTTACTGTGTGCCATAATACAAATATCAACATATAACAGTTTCCGTAGGTTGTACAGGTGTGTCATGGATAGGTTTGTGCATAAGTGTATTGAAGAGCATAGGGCTTAGGACACCACCTTGAGGTGTGCCTAGTTCGAATGCATCTGTTCTTGTACTTTTAACTTCTTTAAATAGGACACTAGCACGCCTGTTGGATAGGTAGCTCTTTATCCAACTCAGAAGATTACCTTTGATTCCAAATTCAGCAAGTTGCTCTAATATTATTTCGCCATTCGCTACATCGAAAGCCGACTTTAGGTCAATAAAAGCTGCCTGTGTCCCATCCTGAGAGTTTACAAAATATTCAGCAAAACATGTTTATGTGCTACACTTGGGCATAAACCCATATAGGTTAGGAGCCAGTTTTTCTTTGGCCTGAAACATGACACGATTGAGAACAATTCTCTCCAAGACTTACACATGCAAGATGTAAGGGAAATGGGTCTGAATTTTTGAGTTAGGTTTAGGAATTGGTATTATGAGACTGTGTCCATATCTTTGGCAAGATACCTTGTGAGAGACTCATTTGATAGAGGTCAAGCAGAGGGTGGCTAGGGACATCATTCAGTAAGCTCAAGATGTTATAAGTTATACCATCCTCACCAGGGGCAGTTTGCTTAGGTTTTCCTAATGCTGATGTTAATTCAAAGGGGGTTATAGGAAACTGATCTGTTAAATCTGGTGAGGAGCGTGCTATTTCAATATTAAAGTTTGTTAATGTTGGTATTATTTAAATGCTGCTGTATATCTGGGGGTAAGGAAGAAATTTGTGAGACACTAGACCATTGAGCTAGGAGCATGTCAGCATATTCTGCAGGAGTATGATGAAGCTGAACTGGGGCTGAAGGTTTGGTAATGGTTTTAATTTTGTTCCACATTTCTGATAATGTTGTAGTTCTATTGATACCTTGTAGGAATTGTTCCCAATATGTGTCCTTAACTTGACCCTTAAGCTCGCGAAAATCTCTGTTGGCATTAAGGAATGCAAGTAAATTGTCAGCTGTTTTGTCTCGTTTATAAGAGTCGGCAAGCTCATACGTCAGGCTGCGAGCAGCCGCGTCTAACAGCCTGGTTGATCAGTCCAGCAACCAGGAGGCCTGGTCGACGACCGGGCCGCGGGGACACTAAGCCCCGGAAGCACCTCAAGGTAGCCTCAAGGTAGGTAAGCTGAAGCACTTTAGCTCGCTCTGCAATAATAATAGGATCCTCTGTCCATGAGGAAGAACGAGTGTTCTTTTTTTTCCTTGATTTAACCCAGGTATCATAATAACTGGTAATGATACTGACAAGATCAATGTAAAAGTGGTCCACTGATACAGGTGTATACCTAGTGTACCACTTATGTACATAAGCCTTAAAGTGCTGTTTAAGATTGTCTGGAATGTTAATTTTAACTCTAGGATGAGGATTGGACCTAATATCCCCCACATTGTATTCACAATATATTGCGAAATGATCACTTACTAGTTCTGGGATGAGCTTAACGTTGCTATCTGCTAAGTAGGAAAGGAACGATGGTGGTGGAGCGAGGTAGTTATGGAAAGCTGTGTGAATAGTAGTAGTTGTCTTCTGAAGGGAGGATTTTGGTGGGAAAATAATACTGTCGAATCTGTGGAATGGAACACAGTGGTATTCAATATTGTCGCACAAATGATTGTGCTTTGAACCACCTTTGTCGAGAAACCATTTCCTGGCCAACGTAAAGTATGCACAACTCGGCTGGTGCTGCCGTATAAAGTAGGAAAGATAAATCTCATCAAACGTTATTAACTTTAGGAATAATCTGGCATTTGTAAATTTAATATATGATAAATGAAATCTTTTTTAAATTGCAATGCACAGACTTGTTAATGTTCTCGCGAGTTATTGCTCAAGATTCAAGGCTGCGTATGCATACACACAATATACAGAAACGATTTAATTTGCCCCCCCCCCCCCCCCCCCAAAAAAAAAAAAAAAGTTATTAAACCGTATTTACGTTTGAAAGGCGCAACAGAGCGAACGTAGCAGTCGTGCCAATGACTCGACCCCTTCTCTTGAGGGAGTGCTACACACGCATGTACGGGGGCAGAAAAAAAAAGTAATTTTATCTATACAGAAAGAATGTCTGATTCACCGAGGAATTTAGCTAGTAGTATTTTGAATAAAGAAATTTATGGGGAGCAAATTATCCTAAAAATTGGAGCAATATGGTAGATGATGTATAACTAATTATTATTATTATTATTAGCAAGCTTAGGTAATACACAGCAATATGCTGTTACCTTTTGTACTGAGGCTAGTATTTTCTCCCCTGATTCCATTATGTATGACTGCAAGTGGGAGTGTGTATATTGGTCAGCATGTTGGTGGTTCCTTGTCTATCCAGTGTCCCACCGTTATTCATGTGTGACCGATGTGTAGTCTGGCTCATTGAGGTTACACATGGAACCTCATGGAGCTCAATCACTGTTCATGTCTTAGCTATTTACTACTAGATCGCTATAGAGGCGCCATTGTGGAGTAGTTTTGTCAAAACGAAGATGGTAAGAGTTCAGAGGAATGGGACCTGACTAGTCCCAGACATGAAATGTCAACTACGAAAAAAAGGCTAAAATGTACTTAAACCTCGAGTCACTGAAGACACGACTACCATACACACTTTAAGAGTTGAACAGTAAGCGAGACAACTTGGATTGGGTGGTACACGAGCAACTGCTCTCAAATAAACCGAATTACCTAAATGATATACAGATTTTTTTTGTCAAGTGTCGGAATATTGAAGGAGTGGAGTTATCTAAGTAGTGGGAGGCAGCCTTTATGAGATTTCCTGTAGATATGAGCCCAGGGAGCCGGTCGGCCGAGCGGACAGCACGCTGGACTTGTGATCCTGTGGTCCTGGGTTCGATCCCAGGCGCCGGCGAGAAACAATGGGCAGAGTTTCTTTCACCCTATGCCCCTGTTACCTAGCAGTAAAATAGGTACCTGGGTGTTAGTCAGCTGTCACGGGCTGCTTCCTGGGGGTGGAGGCCTGGTCGAGGACCGGGCCGCGGGGACACTAAAAAGCCCCGAAATCATCTCAAGATAACCTCAAGAAGATAACCAATGGGCTCGGTAACCTTCGCTAGTCGAAGGACGAGAGGCAGGATCAGAAAGCTGTAGCTCTGTCCCTGAAAGCACAAGTGGAATATAATTAGATTATTTCATCGAGCACGTTTATATTGGCATAAAATCTGTATATTCCGCTCCGTTATGGAAACATTTACATAAAATTAAATATAAAAGGAGAATATATTCTGTTCTTTTATTATCTTAAATGTTACATTAAAATTCATTATCAATCTGGGGTTTATCCTGTGTCATAGTCTGCCAAGTCTATGCAGTCCAGCAGTCCTCCCTGGTGACTGCTGGGCTCGTCGGCCTGCCCTCGTCCCCGCCCACATGGACTTGTTCGGCTGGGGGCATGTTGTTGGGTTCCTCTTTGGTAAATACAGATACAAAATATTTATTGGGAATGCTACTCATCTCTTCATCACTATCTGTTGTTTGGCCTGTCTCAGTTTTTGGTGGACCTATCCTTTCCCTAGTCTTGGTGCGATATAACTGAAAAACCCCTTTAAAAGTATCAACACAAGACAGAACACGAAACAATGGGTATAAATTGGATAAGTTTAGATTTAGGAAAGACTTGGGTAAATACTGGTTCAGTAACAGGGTTGTTGATTTGTGGAACCAATTGCCGCGTAACATTGTGGAGGTGGGGTCCATCGATTGTTTCAAGCATGGGTTGGACATGTATATGAGTGGGATTGGGTGGTTATAAATAGGAGCTGCCTCGTATGGGCCAATAGGCCTTCTGCAGTTGCCTTTGTTCTTATGTCTGATTATAAAACCCTGATTATGAAATCATGGTTTGTGACGTTTGTTGTGAAAGTTGTTTGTGATGAGAATGTTAGAGGAAGTGCTGACGGGTGTATCTAGGATGTGGTTGAGCTTCTGTTGAGTTCATTGATGGACCCCATCGGCCCTATACCTATTCTGTGAGCGGCGTGTGGAAAGGTTAGAGGCACATCATGGGCTCACGTATGATCCCCTTCAATATTAGCTTAGCTAAGCAAGCATTGAAAAAGTTACATACTTATACATCAGGAATCTATTCAGTTTTTGTTGGTGTAACTTAACAGGTTATAGTCACATATACATCTCTATATATATCTATAGATGTCACTATTATCATCTTATAAATTTTACATGAAGTTTTTCCCCCAGCCCACCACGGTAACACCGCCTTGCATTCAAGGATGACTCGAGCGAGAGCATGGGCGTCCACCATGTTGCTAGCGGCAGCCGTTGTGGGTGTGGTGGCTGAACTCCGACCTGGGCTACGACACCCAAGACAGGCGACCCCGCCATCTAGCGACGAGGAGCGGCAGTGTCTACTGGATATCTTTGCGGGCATCAGCAGGCCCGAGTGCCAGAAATACGTCACTCCTACCCAACCCAAGCCCCCAGTGCTACAGCCGACTCAACAGCTGCCATCCCAAGACTGCGTGTGTGCTCGCCACTGGCACTGCAAGGACAAAGGTGCTCAAGCACCAGGTACGTACAAATCTGGACTGTTTAATACGCAATAGCACATTTGTTTTAACTATCGGATCAGGCGGACGGGTTGCAGTACTTCTCTTAGTCCCATTCTTTGCTATCATGCAGCTTATTGTGCCATAACAAGTTAGGTTATCATATGCCAGTGATTGTTATATTGTTTTATTCTGAACTGACAATTGTCTGTTCAGACTGTGTAGTCTGATGAGCTCTAGGAAGACTGATTTGTTATCAAGACTTACACCACGTCCAATCACACTGGTATGTTTTGCAGACTGAGAATGGGTCCTGCACCTTAGTGACCAGTGTAGGCGGGTCACAAACTTAACGGTCCCGGGTTAGATTCCCGCGGCAGCTGGACAGAGACGTTTGCTCAGTTTCCACGTAGTGGATGCCTCTGATCCCCTAGCAGTCAATAGATACCTGGGATGTGGTCAGCTGTTGTGGATTTACCTCCTGGAAAAGGCTAGTGTTTGACCTGGGAGGGGGGGGGGGAACCTCTGTGGCCCTAAAGAGGCTTCAAGACACCTAGTGTACAGGGAAACCGTGTGTATTGTGTGGACATATAAAAACCACATTTCAAGTGTCGTGTAGACTAGTAACTCCCTAAAAATGGAAATATACTTATCTATACTTTCAAAATATCCGTGTATGTTTATATACAAAGCCTAGGCATGTCTTGTTTACACTTATAACACACACACTTGTGTTTACATAGAGATCATATTAACGTAATGTATATCAGTGAACAAATCCAACAAGAGCCTTGATGAGGGTTTTGAACCTATGTGCTGGGTGTTCCCAGCCGCGCTCTAGTCGACTCCACCACGACATGGTCAAAAGAATTACAACCTGGAGTGCAACTGCAATTCTTTTACCATGTGGTGCAGTGGACTAGAACGCGTTTGGGAACACTCACGCATGGGTTCGAACCCCTCATTACGGCTCCTATTGGATTTGTTCACTTGTTTATTAAATTCACTCACTCACTCACTCACTCACTCACTCACTCACTCACTCACTCACTCACTCACTCACTCTTGCGTATTATAGACTAACATGATAGTTTTACCTAAAAATGTTATTGGCCGGAACAGGAAGTATCGAGCTACTCTTTCCACCCCCCCCCCCCCGGGGTAATGACTTACCTCCCCCCCCCCTTAACCATGCAGCCCACGACAGTTCCCTAATTCCATTATATCTACTATAATAATTTGTTCTAAAAATTTGATACAGTTGATAATTCGTAGGTAATCACCATACACTATAAACCTTTACCAGAATGCAGAGCGTTTCGGGTATCTAAATCTGGTAAACCTATTAGATAATTAGGTTTTTCAAGTAAACCTGATTAGATAAGTCAACCTCATTAAATTTTAAATAAATTAAGTTCAAATACTTCATTATTAAAGATATTTAGCAACTAATTTAAAAATTGTAAGTGATATTTAGCAACTGCAGTTAACATTATAAAGGTGAAGAGAGGCATTAGAAGTCTGAAAACCTGGTCAAGTAAGCTTTTAAAGGTTGACAGATGTTAGTCTTCTTGTTTGAGGAGCTGTTCACTTGAGACAGTTAAGCAAGTCCCAGCTGTGTCCAAGTACAAAGTGACAGGATGAACAACCCAGCGGGTTTTCTTTCTATTGGGGAGTGTTGTACATGCTGCTATGGCGGTGTGTCCACTCAAAAGACGAGTGGCGCTGCCCAATAAACTCGCCCCTCGGGGCAAAATTAAAAAAAAAATTAAATGTGTAACTGTGTTAAATAACAGACGATAATGGCGACCTGGTGGGCATCGTGAACGTGAGGAGTGCGGGCGGGAACACCTGTGTGGTGGTGGAGGACATCTGTTGCCGCGACATAGACACCAGCCTGCCCCCACCTCGTCCCAGGAACATCTACACTCCTGCGTGTGGCAACCGCAACCCCAAAGGAGTGGGTGGCATCTTTAAGGGATTTACGGTGAGTCTTGGTAACTAAAGTGTGGTGATGGGGGGGGGGGGGTTAGTTAAGAGCGGTGGGAAGCTGGTTGAAGATGGCATCCATAAGAGGTTTTTTTTTTCTCAAGAGACAACATGCACAGCTAAATGGTGGTAGTAACAGCTGTTGGCAGCCTGGTGGTGGTGGTGGTGGCGGCGGTGGCGGTGGTGGCAGACAGCAACTCATGGTCTTGCTATATCAATATTGTATTATATATTGATATGGTGTAATTATATATTATAAATCGATGTTTAATTGCCTTAAAGCTTCAGTATTTTAGCTGAAATTTTAATAAAACCACAATAACGCGCGCAATAGTTACGGCTTAATGAACTATGGTACGCAGCAATATAGTTAAATTTACCAGATTATATTAATAATGAAGAACAGTCTCGGAACTGAGTAGTATTATCTTGCTCTCGTGGTGTTGGCAGGAAAGCTATGCGCAGTTCGGAGAGTTCCCGTGGATGGTGGTGGTGATGACGGCTGACCAGCCGCTGGGGAGCGGCCAGAACGCCTACATCAGCGGAGGTTCCCTCGTCCACCCGAGCTTCGTGATGACTGCTGCTCACTACGTTGCTGAGTAAGTTCTCGGAGTCATGATGCCTCTCGTACTTGTAGTCAAGGCTGTGTATGGTGTATTAGGCTTTGTATATAAAAGTCTCTGTGCTGCTTAGTGTTCTATAAAATTTCTGCAGTCCTCGGTTTCAATCGTTCTCTATATCAGGCCTTACCTGAGGCCCAGTCTCTTTAGTAACTTCGGTGAGGGACAGGCAGCCTGGCTGCTTGTGCCCCCATCTACCCCCATTGTTCCCGAGGAAGTTTTAATTCTGGATATTAAATTGAAGTAATTAATGTCTTGGCATTTGCAGCTTTAGCGTGAAGGTGGTTCTATGGGTTTATAATCGTATGGGTTAAAAAACATTTTTACATCACAAACTAGCTGTGAGATTGTGAGGCAGGTTTTTGTTTCTTTGAACCCATGTGGGATATTCATAAGAGTATTTATGCGTTTTAATTAGCTTTGTTGGGGACATGAAGTTTGTGTTTTAAGTGATCTAAGTCTTTGTATTGGCATACAGCATTATGCCGGTCTAGGTCTTTAGCTTAGTTTTCCCGTTTTCTTCATATTAGCAAGACATTGACAGTTTTCTACCTGTGTGGCCCAAGTGAAACTCACTCCAAAAAACCTTTCTAGTAAGAAAAAAACACATGCAAAACTCTCATAAGCACTTACATAGGATACAGATGGTTCAAAAAGAGAGAGAACAATAAGTACTGGTGCTCCGTCCTGGCCGACGGATGTTTTGACACTAGTAGTAGGCATCCGTCAATCCCGTGGGGGTTATAGAGTTGTGCCCTGGGTGTCCGGATGGTTGCAACAGTCTGCTGTGGCTGTGTAGTTCTTGAGCCATCGCTAAGGCAAAGCTGGGGTGTCCTCTCCAGGGCACAGGCCTGGGCAGTAGTTATGGAGAACCGGCTGTTGCCCCATGCTGCAGATCCACGCTCTAAGGGAAGGGCAGGCGCCGATACGCTTGGCACCAGCGTCGTCGCAGGAGTTCTTGGAATGTAGCTGTAAACAGCTGCTGGGACGCCTAAGGGATTCCAACTCTGGACTTTTCCTCTGCCTTGACTCCCGAATCCTTTCTCGTGAGTGGGTTTAGCCACAAGACAGCGGAGGTTTGAATTCGGGGTTTTCCTTCCCCTAGATGAGTTACCTTCCCAGGGTGACTAGTCCCATCTGCCAGAAGTAACTGGTTTTAAGGCGCCAGAGGCCCGCTTTCGCCTCTTCAGTTAAAGCAGTTCCGCCAGGCCTAGAGGCTAGGCCACACGGACAGGCCAGGAGCTGGACTTGCTTAGTTGTCATAGGCTATTTGAAACAAGCTGTCAGGGGCACTTTACAGGTTGTAGGAGCTTGTCTATATCAACTACAGTTGAGTGTAGGGAAGAGGAATGACCAACTTTGCTTGATGAAGGGACGGGGGGGGGGGGGGGGATGTGCATGCTGTATTATCCACATTTTCACATTTTTGTCTCCCACAGTAAGGCAGCGAAGGACGTGGCTGTGAGACTGGGAGAGTGGAACATTAAAGCACCCACTGAGCCCATAAAACATCAGGAGATTTTGGTGAGCCAAATCCACCTACATCCAGACTTTAACCCGAAGAGCCTTAAGTACGACGTGGCTCTCCTGCAGTTGAAGCAGCCTGCCCAGCTGGGGCCGACCGTCGACACCATCTGCCTGCCCAGCCCTTTTCAGAAATTCGATGGATCACAATGCGTCAGCTCTGGGTGGGGCAAGGATATATTTGGCCAAGAAGGAAAATACCAACAGGTAATTATTAATTTTTCACATGGGTAAAACCAGAGGATTCCACTCCATTACTCCCTCGTCTAGTGGTGAGACAATAGTCAGCATAAGGAACTCAAACTTTACAATACTCGGTTTTCTTCAGTATAGTAAAGTTGTTGAGAGAGAACTGCAGGGCGACGCTGTTGTGAAGCCGGCAGACACACCAGGAAGTTCTCTCAGAGTATAGTGTACCTGTTCTCTGCGGAGAACAATATTTACGTACATAAACGAGAACAGGATAATGCAGGCGATGAGTCACAATAACGTGGCTAAAGTATGTTGACCCGACCACACACACAAGGTGAAGGGACGACGACGTTTCGGTCCGTCCTGGACCATTCTCAAGTCGACTGAGAATGGTCCAGGACGGACCGAGACGTCGTCGTCCCTTTACCTTCTAGTGTGTGGTCTGGTCAACAGAACAGGACAATCTTAGCAGAGTGAGAAGTCCCTCGGGGAACAGAGCTTATTCATAATGATGTCGTACCAGTTGCAGAACCAATACATCCGGTAATAAGGATACAAATATACTCTGCACAGGACCAACAAGTTTAGTGTTGTGCGTTTGGTCGGGATCATTTTCACGCTACAAATGAGTGAAGTTAATTGTATTTACTATTTATATAATCTAAATACAGACTAATGATTAGATTTGTTGATGATTCGCAGAAGTTATAATTGTGATATGATGCACTTTAATGTTGGGTGACCGTTAGTGGACAGCGACGTAAATGATTACTTCATGCTATTTAAAAATGAAGCTTTATTTTGATATAGTTTGATTTCGCAGCCGTTAAACAAATGTAGATTTAGCAAACAAATGATACACGTGTGATGTTACGTATGCGGTTATAATGGTGTTATGAATTCTTGGTTGTGAAATGGTGGTAGTTCCCGATAGTGGTTCTCTTGTGGTTGACTGGAAATATGCAGTCAATATTCATTGGTGTTTGTAGGATAATTAATTCATATTTTTTTATAAAAAAATACACTACTTCACAAATTAAAACCCTGCTGGATAATTTAATATAAATATCTGACTGCGTTTCTCAACACATGACCTGACTGACCTCATTACCTTCATGACCTGCTCTGGTCAACACATCATTATAACACCCTGATAAGGTCCTGTGGGACGATAGGCCTAGGCAAACTTTCATATTTGTGTACAAATGTAGCATATGCAATCAAGGAGTTCTATGAATCTACTAATTCGAAACCTTATCTGTGCCTCCACCTCTGATGACCACCCTCGCAGATCCTCAAGACGGTGACCTTGCCAGCGATGAACCACAGATCGTGCGAGGCGGCGCTGCGCCGGACCCGCCTGGGGTCCAACTTTATCCTGGACCAGACCTTCATGTGCGCTGGCGGGCAGCGAGGCAAGGACCTGTGCACGGGTGACGGAGGCTCTCCTCTCGTCTGCCCAAAACCCGGAGACCCCAACCGCTACGTCCAGGTGAGTATACTGGTTATATATAATGCGTCGATAGCAGATTTAGTTTAAGTTCCAGCGTGAATTGGAAGTGTTTTAAAAGCCATGAGGTGTAGTATATTTGTGTATATTCAGGACAAAAATATGCTAGCTGGTTGGTCTGAAAGGTATTGTGGTAGTCTTAACAACCAAACCCAATGAAAATGTGAGTCTCTCTATTCCCAAATGTCAAGAACGGGGACTTATTGAGGTTGCCACACTAAAATCAGCGTTGGGTCTATATGGTAACCCATCCAGTTACTGACTAGACCCAACTGTGCTTAACCCAATTGGTATGATGTGTGTTTTTATATGATTACGGTTTCCCAATGTCGTACGGGAAACGAGTTAGTCTTATCGAGATTTATATAGACCATTGATCTTCCCCAGGATGCAACCCTGGGAGTTCCCTGGGAGTTCCCAAGGAGTTGGGCAGTTTCCTAACTCCTTAATACCTATTTATTGTTGGGTCAACAGAGGTATCAGGTTTACGGGCTATTCATGCCCGTGCCACCTCTTGGGTAACTTAATCTTAATCTATCAATTGAGGTATCAGGTGTAAGAAAACTTGCCCAAACTTCTCCGTACCACTGCAATCCCAGGTCACTATCGTTTAAGACCTCAAACCCTTAGAAATGAGTCTTATCTCGAGTTCCTGTCCCTTGACCTCAATTAGGGACCCTGAACACACACTATATAACCTTCGCTGTGTTTTTGTTCCAGGCAGTTTACGGGCTATTCATGCCCGTGCCACCTCTTGGGTGGCTTAATCTTTATCAATCAATCTGTTCCAGGCGGGCATCGTGGCGTGGGGTATCGGGTGCGGCACTGAGGGGGTCCCCGGGGTGTACGCGGACGTCAGCCAAGCCATGCCCTGGATTAACCAGGTGGTCCAACTCGAACCGGAATTTGACATCCGCTTTGGTCCCGTCCCATAATGAAAGCCTCGGATTGACACGGCAGACGAGTCTAAGATAATTGTTTGGGCTTATTGCATCTGGACATGTATACTGCAGTGTCCAGATGATAGGCATTATTTGTTAACTTTATGCAACAGTTAAAAAATACAGTATAAATGATACTATAAGACTTTTGAGTTTAAACCATCAAGATGTATATCAAGGAAGGATGGATGGGGTGAAATTAGGTGCAAAACAGTGCACAAACAGCAATGCTTCGTCAGAGAACTTATTGTTTCTACACACAGACCAGGTCATCACCAGATACCCTGACTAACAGCGAGAACAGAATATCGGGGAGGCACCAAGTCTCTTCCATCAATATCCACCTCGCCTAATGCTCCTGTCAGCAACTAACTTCACCTCATTCTTCTTGAATATATATTCTGTAACGTCAGTTAACTTGTATTCATTTCAACTGTTCCTTTAAAAAGTCGATAGGCTGAAATAAACTCCTTTTAGCGTCAGGCCAAATTGCAAAATGGACTTTGGAGAATTTACTTTTCTACTTTTCAAGTGAAGAACATCCTAAGAAATAGAAAATATTCGTGCTAGGACCATTGATCAAACCTTTTGTCGTATTCAATAACACACATCAAATGTGTATGCATGTGTGTATATGTATGTATGTATATATATAATAATATATATATATGTGCATGGTATGGGGTACATAATACACGAACTAAACTACAATTAAGGAAAGTGTGTGTGCTGTGCACATAATTAACTTAATGAATCGATAAAAGTTCCTTGTTCGGTATACTGTATATTGTTATAAAACCATCCTCGATGCCTTTAAAAGACCGTATTAAAGGTACACGTTACAATTATTGACTTTTCCTATCCTTATTTAAATAAATTTAAATAAATGTTTATGCTGATGTTTAAATCCTTATTTAACATCAGCATTCAACACTACTCTCACTTGTTCCTGATAGTTTAAATTTTAGTAAGACATGCATATTGTTTTTCGACAGATCAGAGACAATTCTATAACAAATGTTCAAGAGATGTGTAAATATTTCTTTTTAAATGATCTGCTACCAGGAATCTTAGCCAAATATCCCCAGTCTGCTAACTGTAGGTAGTAACTAAGTGATTGTAACCTATCGACCGCTGCCCACTTGATGGGGGGAGGTGTGCAGGACAAACATATCAATTGTGACACTAGCTCTCCACATGTCAGTTGCTTAATTTAGAAGGTCGAGAGACCTTGTGGTCGGTCTCGAGCCTATTGTTGATGTGAAGATATACATTGAATTTTGTTACTAGTTCAACAAGATTGTAACTTGCTTAGCTAAATGAATTGTGGGGGTCAGTCCTTGAGCCACATTGTTCCTCTGTAACACTTTCCACTCCCGCTCACAGAATGGGTATGGGGTTATCTTGAGATGATTTCTTGGGGTGCATAATAAATGAACTAAACTAAACGAATGATCAAATCCGGGCAGTGGAAAGTGGAGAACATGTATCAAGAGAATTGAAGGACCGGTGACGAAGACTTGTTGAACGATTGCGCTGCTAGTTCACCACTGACGTTTGAGTTTATAATGAACAAAACTAAGGTGTATCACAGGATACTTGATATATCTTATGGAAGGTCCGTCCACGGTAACCCATGCTGACCTACCGGGGAGCGAGGATCAGAATGCCGCTTGAAGGAATAAATAAAACTTAAAAGGCAAACACTACGCTAACGATCGTTGCAGCGGCAGAACAACTTTAACCGTAATACACCCGAGTGTCACCAAATGGCGGACCAGAAGTCACCTTGTGTCATCAGTCAGTAGTATGGGTGCATCTCCTGTAGATGACTTCTTACCTGCTCTTTCATCGAAGTGGCATTCGCTACCTTCAACTTGTCTTCAGGTTGGTAAGAATTTAAAAGTTGTAGTTTAGCGTTTTGGTCAATTTTCTTTATTGGGCGTTTCGCGTTTGGATTAATTTTTTACAATTGCAGTAATTATTTGGCGTTTCGGGGTTTTTTTATTGGGCGTTCTGGGGTGTTTTATTGGTTAGATCTTTTTATTTAGGGGATGTTTTGTTAGGCGCTTAACGTGTTGAGGATCATTTGTTGGCTGTTTGTACTGGAATTGGATTTTTTTGGGTTGGGTGTGTAACGTACGATTGTTAAGTTATTGGGTAGATTACATAGTGTTTAGTGGTTGATATTTATTTAGGAGTCTTGGTTACAGCAGTCGGTTGTTGGCAGTGTCGTAGATGTTGAGACGAAGCCTGGAGCAGAGCTGAGTGCGGCCGGAGTCTTGGAGCTCGATGTGGGGGCGAAAGCGTGGAAACTCGAGTTGGCCAAGAGCGTGGGAGTTCGATGCAGTCGGAGTCTGGCTCTGTGTCGAAGCTAAAGCGTCTTGGGATCGGTTGGAACTGTACACCCCGAGCGCTACATTCTTGAGGTTAGTGTGCGGTAACTCTCAAGCGTCTGTAATGAAGTTAACTGAACCGGGACACCTTTCTTGACCAGATGAGTGGCAGTGTTGATGGCTTCAGGCTGCTTACCGCAAGATTCGGGGAATCTTAAAGCTTAGGGACTCTGCTAAGCTAGCTGGCAACCTAAGTTGTTTGACAGGTAGAAGAGACTCATTTGTGCCCCCACCAGTCTCAGTGTCGTGCCAGACGTTGTTGGGAGCAGTGTACGTACTTTGCTTCTGTGTTCGGGTAGGTAGGCCACATATTTTATTATTTCATTGTCTTCGTCTCATTTCTGTTATGGAAAGTGAAAAAGTGTACAAGTAAAGAGGTGGGGTGCTGGCAGTTCTGCCTGCTTGAAGGGCAAGGTTATCCAATCAGCTGATTCCTGCAGCGCAAGTGTTGCAATTGTTAGGCTGGGATACGGTTGACGTTGTCCGTATGCACATATGTATAGTGGATCCATATCGTACCTGACATCTCCTCCCACAGTGGAAGTCGAACTTTGTCCAACAGGAGTGTCTGTAGAGTCAGTGTCTACAGTACATTGTCTCGGACAAGAAATAGGAAAATTGTGAAGGTGGGGGGGGGGGGGGGGGAGATGGTTTGGGGCTTGCTTTAGTGCACTAAGTATGGCTTTAAACTGCGAGGCTTTTCATATCACTGTATGTGATAGAGCTACTTAGTTAATACATAATGAACGTTTATATGGAGGCTCTCGCTACGGTTATGCTGACGATGCTTACTGGAACTGGGTGTAGCAGTGTGAAGATACAAGTAATGTTTTAGATAAATATTATAATTGTTACATACGGCTGAAGTTTTAATTTTTGCCTCTGGGGTACTAGTGGTAGTGTCTGGTGCTGTACTCTCACTGTAGCGCTCCTGTACTTCCGCGAGGTACAGGAGTTACTGCTACAGTTCCTACAACAGAGAGCAAGCTCAACATGGTCAACTTGTGCCGATCTATAGGGTTTTTTATCATTTTCAAAGTTGCATGCAACGCGAGTTTATCACACCAACTTGATTTATTCCCAAGAAACAAATATTTCTTATTGGAAGGTTTTTGAGTCAAGTACTTCCTTAAGCGTTTGTGCTATCAACCAGACCATCTGGCTCTCCCGATAAGGAAGGATCGAGAGAGGGGGAAGGGGATACCTAACTGGTACCCAACTGAGACTTTAAACCCTCCCTGGAGCACCACTAATATCGAGAATCTAATACCAACCTAGGAAGTTGCTAAGCCGTTGCTTTGTCTTGACCAAGGTAGTCACCATCGAGGAACCAGGGGGACGGTGCATGGAGGAGTGGTACTCGGGGTGCTGGGAGAGTGGTACCCAGACCTCAACAGAACCAGACTTTTGCACAGTCCTTGAGTGCATTGGCGAGGGGGGGGGGGCGGACCTTGGAGAAGTGAGTGGTAGTGGGGCCATGGTAGAGGCGTGGGGGCCCTGGGAGGGGAAGAGCTGTGAGTGTGGGATGCACCGTGGGAGAGGTCAGAGGTAGACGCTCAAACAGCCTTAAGCTATAGTCTGGGTTTATCCAACCGGCGCGAACTTAAACTAAATATGAGAGAAAAATGTTAGTTTCATGTAGCGTATACACGATGTGTGGGACGTCATTGACTAAATAATTTAATCCCGCCAGGGCTTTTAGGTTCCTGCCCTGATCAACAACTTTGGTCCGCTAGCATTGCTGAGGATGCGAACCTGATGAGTGTGTGTACACAAAATGCGGGGGGGGGGATGTGCAATCGGTGAGGACGTACACGTGGTGAGTATGTACACATGGTGGACATGTTCACATTGCGATAATTATCAATGTTGTAAGATAATATTTAGATTGTATGAACAACTCGTACCACTATACACACTGCTTGAGTGTGTATAGTTGCGTATGGTTCCGCCCAATTCTCTCCCACCATCCTAACTCGAGGTATAGCGGAATCTGAACTTCACATTTTAAAAGTACGCTATGGTTTCCCCAACGTACAGAATAAGGGGTACTGTAAAATATAGCGTCTCTCTCATGTCCACCGCGGGAGACATCTCCCGTCACGCAGGGTGCAGCCGCACCTCCACAGATCTCCAGTATCATCTATTGATACTGGTAATGGCTCAAAAGGACCACCACTTGCGGGTTATTCATGCCCGTGCCACCTTTTGGGTTGCTTAATCTTAATCAGTCAATCATTATGTCCATGTTTTCTGCGCGTCGGTGTGTTGGGTTAGGTGGGAGGCTCGGGTTCGTGTGTTTTAGTGCCCCCCTAAATTTTGTATGTTGCGACAAATCATAAAAACGGGTAATGAATAATCACCGTCCAACATCCTCCCTGGACAGAGATGTATATCTATGATATACATAGATATACATCACGCCAAAAACACTTCAGACGTTATAAAGAGGATGGTTTGGGTGTGGTTAAATTCTCGTAAACTTTTAAGTATAGTGGAGGAGGTTGGATTGGGGGGGGGGGGGGGGGAAGAGACACAATATGACGTTACCTGAGGGGGTTCCACTCCCTAAGGGGCCTCGACGGGGACAGGAACCCGGAGGCTTGTCTAAGGTCCCTCCCACATTATTCCTCATAATTTTTTTCCAGCTGAATTTACGAGTGAAGCTGATGGATTATTCCATGGGTTTATTACCCCTATATGGACGAAAAAATCTCTCGTTTCATGTCCTAAACTGCGGTTTCTTGAGCTTGAAACTGTGGGTCCTTAATTTTGCGAATTACATTGGACCTTTCAGAGAAGTGGTCTAGATTAATGTACTTCAATTTGTTCAGTATTTTAAAGATCTGGCCGAGAAGCCAGTCTTCTTGAGTTGCTACAGCGTAGAAAATACGGGGTACCAAAACGCGTGAACCTAACCTAACCTAACCCAGCCTTGCCTTGTCTTCGGATAGAAAACGTGGATGTCTTTGAGCCGTTGCTTTTGGCAATGTTGCCCCGATAAAGAGGGACGCGCAGCGGCCGATGAATGTGGCTGAGGCTACAAGAGGAACTGCAGGTCAAGCAAAGGTCAAGACAGTCGCCTCGACAGACAGGTTATTCCTTACCGGCCGGAGGAGGTCCGGCGGAGGAGATGTTTAAGTCATGATGTAATTGGGTAGAGGCGGCGAGATAGGGAGTGACAGTAGTGAGGTGGTGAAGTAGGAAAGAAACGATGGTGGAGGAGCAAGGTAGGAATGGAAGGTTGCAGGAATAGTGGTAGTCTTCTGAAGGGAGGATTTTAGTGGGAAAATAATACTGGAGAAGCTATGGAATACAGTGGCATTCAAAATTGTCGCACAAATGATTGTGCTTTGAATCACCTTTGTCGAGAAACCATTTCCTGGCCAAAGTAAAGTATCCACAACTCGGCTGGTGCTGCCGTATAAAGTAGGAAAGATAAATCTCAT